GAGGCAGGAGGCAGGAGGCAGGAGGCAGGAGGCAGGAGGCAGGAGGCAGGAGGCAGGAGGCAGGAAGCAGTTTCGGCGGCCATTAGCCCGCCTCACGAAACAACCTCCGGCTCTTTGCCTCTAACGCCGTACATTTTAACATTTGTCTCAACGCTACAATTTCAAATATTTAGGTTTTTTTGAAGTTCAGGCTCATTTATTTTTTGTTTAAGTTTTTGGAAGTTCCTGGAAATTCGTGTTGTGTTATTGAGGCTCAGTTCAGATTTTCAATGATACGTTCCATAAGGAATTCTTCATAATAATAATCGCTTGAATATTTATATAAAAATTCAATCAATTGTGAGAAAATCTGGTGGCTTTGTAATTAGGCTTTACTCTCTACTAAATGTATTTCTTAATTTATTAGTTTTTTTGGCCAGTGTTTGGTATTTACATCGCAATACCAGGCGGTATTTACATGGCAATACCAGGCGGTATTTACATCGCAATATCAGGCGGTATTTACATCGCAATACCAGGCGGTATTTACATCGCAATACCAGGCGGTATTTACATGGCAATACCAGGCGGTATTTACATCGCAATACCACGGCGGAATTTACATCAATCAAACACACGCGCGAACAATTCCCTAGAACCTTCTTAAACGAAATTGTTTTCATTGTTTTAAATTCATACTCGCGTTTAAACGACCACACACGATCTGTTTTCATTCACCAGCGACGATTAAACTGCCACAAGCAATTTCTGGGAACAAAAATTTCTGTTTTTGTTTGCATGTTGATGATGGTTCAGGTTTTGTTTGCTTATGAGAAGAAGATGCATCGCTGCAATTAACCATGTGAATTGAAATTAAATGAGTTTAACGATAAACTGTGTTAATTAATTATCTGCATGTTGATTAATTTACTAGTAACTGTGATTATAAAATAATAATGAACAATGAATAATAATAATCGTGAACATACTCATGGTGAAGCCAACGATGCTTTAATGTGATCGCGAAACTCGTTGGTTTGGGCGCCAGTTGAGGCACAAAAAATTATCAATTATAATTATTACTCACTTTATTTTAATTGTGATCGCTGCTCTGGTGCCATGTACGAATAATGTGTATGGAACGTTTATATAACGTGATTGTAACGGTCATTAAACGTCGATAGAAGGTGATTAGAACGTGTACATAAGCTGGACAGTTCATTTCAGCTGGGGAGAGCTGGGCTGTTAATTTCAGCTGGGGAGAGCTGGGGAGTTCATTTCAGCTGGGGAGAGCTGGGCTGTTCATTTCAGCTGGGGAGAGCTGGGGAGTTCATTTCAGCTGGTATTTCAGCTGGGGAGAGCTGGGCAGTTTATTTCAGCTGGGGAGAGCTGGGCTGTTCCTTTCAGCTGGGGAGAGCTGGGCAGTTCATTTTAGCTGGGGAGAGCTGGCGATTTCATTTCAC